GGAAGTGAAAAATTTACAGTGCGTTTCAGCAAAGCTACACGAGTTGCACTTCATTAACACACAAAAAAGACATATCACGTTTGAAGCATGAGTAGATAAGCGTGTATCTTCTTTTTAAAAATTCCTGGGGATTGACTTTCATTCACTTTGGTGGTGGCCATGGTATTTGAGTTTAAAAACGAAGGAATAAGGTGTGCTAGCTTTTGTCTACCGTAGTTGGTCCGAGTCCTCTCACTGTAATCGGTGGCTTTTCTAATGATATACATTGGTAGTTTCCGGGAGTAAGCATCATGAAATTTAACGGCGTTTGATTTGATTTGATCGTAAATGACTGTCGCTAGCTTTTTATGAAAGATATTTTCAAATGTTAGGATTCCATGCTTAAGGAAAAGAGGAGCAGAAGGCGTTCGACGCGGAACATTCTCGATTATACGTAGCATTCTTTTTTGCAGTCGGTAAATCCCAATTTTATTTGTTTTTGTTGTCGAGCCCCAGATTAACAGGCAGTATTGTATGCGGGAATAAACTAAAGCGTAGTAAAGTTGCTTTGTCACCCAAAGGGGTAGAAAGCACCTAATTTTTCCAATCACACCAATGGACCGTGATACCTGGGTACGTAGTTTATCTATGTGACTAGATCAGTTCAATTTTTCGTGAAAAATGACGCTTAAGAACTTTTCAGTCTGAACTTGCTCAATCGAAACTCCTCTGAATGACAGCTGCGTATTACGGAGAATGGAATGGTTTCGAGGGTGAAAAATAATGTACTTTGTTTTCTTGATATTTAGTTCTATCTGATTTATTTTCAACCATAGAGACAAATTGTTAAGCCAAAGGTTAGCTTGTTTTTCTATACTAGAGATATCCTGACAGGAAAAAAATACATTAGTGTCGTCTGCGTATAATATAATATCTGCTGTTAGAGGTACGTTTACGATATCGTTTATATATAATAGAAATAGAAGTGGCCCAAGTATGGGGCCCTGTGGGATGCCATAATTTATCTTGCCCATTTCAGACTTTGAGTGTTTCATATCAGTATATTGGAACCGGTTACCAAGGTAACTTCTTATTAAATTAAGAGATTCCCTTATTCCGTATTCGGTAATCTTTTGTAGAAGAATTTCATGCTTAATAGAATCAAACGCTTTCTTAAAGTCAAGAAATATTCCGATTGTGAGGCGTTTTTGTTCAAAATTATCGATTATTTTATCTTTATTAGATAGTAGGGCTTTTTCAGTAAACTTATTTTTATGAAATCCATACTGATGTTCTGTAATTACATTTTTTGAGCTACAGAAATTTGCAAATCGTACATATATCACACGTTCTATGATTTTGGAAAATATGGGCAAAACAGAAATGGGCCTGTAATTACCCATGTCATTTTCATCACCACCTTTGTGAATAACAGACACTTTAGCTACTTTTAGTTTTTCCGGGAACGTTCCAGTGTTCAAGATAAGATTGCAGATATGGGAAAAAGGTGCGCTAATATTCTCTGAAACTGCTTTCAAGGGTTCAGCCTTTAAACCGTCAAAGCCAGCAGCAGAACCGTTGTTTAAATTCTTTATCAGCAAGGCTACTTCCGATTCATCTGTGGGAGTTAGGAAAATGGATTCCGGGATGCATGCTGTAATATACGATTTATAAGGCTGGACGGCACCAACTGAAGTATCGGAAGCTCCTGATCTCAAGAAATGGTCGTTGAACATATGGGCAAGTTGAGTACCGGAATAAGATCTGCCCTCTATTTGAACCTCAGAAATGGTCTTCGTATTCTTGTGTTGCAAAAGATCGTTGATAGTGTTCCAAATAGCTTTTTGATCATTGAGTATATTCGCAAACTTATTTTCGTAGTAGTTTATTCGGGCCTTTTTAATATCAGACGCCAATTTATTTCTGACCTGCTTAAACTCCATCAAGTACTTTAGGCGTTTAGATTTTATGAATTCAGTGAATAACTTATCTCTTGCTTTCATCCTTTTTAGAAGTGCAGCATCAATCCATGGTTTTCTTGCCTTCTTGGGTTTTTTGTATGCGATGAAAGGAAAGGCTAGATCGTAAAGCTCTGTTATCTTTGTTATAAATATGTCGTAGGCACTCACAGGGTCAGCGTTATTGTAAACACCATTCCAGCTCTCTCGTGCGATAACGTTTTGGAAAACCTTGATATTTTCTTCGTTAATTTTTCGATAATGCGTAGGATTTACTGGACTTCGTTGTTTTATTGCCCAGGTAAAAAATGCAAAAATTGGAAGGTGATCGCTGACTCCGGCTGTCAAAACCCCTGCGCATACCTCATTTTTACAGTTCGTGAAGCATAAATCCAATGCAGTTTCAGTTAATTGTATAATCCTGGTGGCTACATAATTTGTATTTTCATAACCAAAAGAAAGCATTTGGTCAAGAAAGTTTTGCTTGTTGCAACTTGAGGACAGCATATCTATGTTAAAATCTCCGGTAATAATTGCCCGTGCGCCACTTTTTTCACAGTACTCGAGCATTTCATATATGAAATCTAGGAAATTAGTCATAGCGCCTAAAGGGGGCCTATATAGAGCAGCTACTAAAAGGCTTTGACATTTTACCATGACAGATTCAAAATGCGTCGATATTACAGTCTATTCTTTGACGATATTGTATTTCACGCTCTCGTGAACATAAATCGACGCACCACCCCCGCGTTTATTTTCCCTACAGATTGATGCACAACTGTAGTTCGTAAACTGTATGTTATCACGGTTATCAATAGACCACGTTTCGGTGAAAGCTAAGAAGTCAAACCGGTGATTCAAGTTGTTCAGAAGGAAGTCAACAGATTCTTTTTTATTTTGAAGGCTTTGTGCATTAAGATGAATCAGTGACAACTGTTTTTTGTGCAGTGAAAGAACTTTTTGGAAGACCTCGGCGTCATAGTAGTTGGTTGCCATATTTGCGAATAAAAAGCAGTTATCTCTTGTGGTCAGCTATGTTTCACTTCATCGTATTTTTTCAAGGTCTTGCGCAGTTGCGATTTTAATCAACCTATCATTCGGGCTTCGGCGCACGAAAAGTTTGCCGTTCTTGTGCCATGCAAAATTGTAATTGTTTTCAAGTGCTTTAGTTTTCATTTGCCAGAAGAGGTTCTTGTTGTATGCTGTTAGGTTTTCACTGAAGAATATAGCTGACTTTGCTTTCTTCAGTTCCCCTTTCTTTTCAAGCCATTTTTCTTTCGTTTTGCGAGATGCAAATAGAACTATCACAGTATTGGGCTTGTCTCGAGTTCTTTCGTTTCTTGACGGTACTCTGTGGGCAGCTTCGATGTCAGACTCAGAAAGTTGTGGAAGCTTTAGATCAGTTGCCAGTTGGTTGAGTTTCGCCAATAGGTTCTCGTTTTCGTGATAGGTTAACCCATTCACTTTGAGGTTGAGACGCCTGCTGTACTGGTCTAACTCGTTTAACTCCTGCTGAAATTTTTCCACATCTTTTTGTTTATCTTGTGCTTCAAGCCTCATAACCCGCTTTCTGAGATCTGACATTTATGCTGATTGTTTTGCCATCTGTGCAAGAACTTCATCGTACTTACTGGACATAACTTCCATCGATTCTTCAATTTTATCGACAGTTATTTTTATTTCCAACAAGGCGTCGACCTTTACTTTGATGCCCAGTAGTTCAGTAAGCTTGTGATGAATTTCCGCCAGTTCTGAGGCAAACTTCTTTTCCACTGCTCCGTTCTGCATTTCCGCGGTCTGTGCAACACGCGTCGGCGCTTTGCACGCTACGCATGTCCAAGATTTTTTGGCAGCCGCAGATTTCTTTTTGTAGGCGTTGTCAGTAACCGCCGAACATGAGCCAATATGATACCTACATTTGCATTCTGAACACAGAAGCCATGACTCAGATTCATGAATCTTGCCTTCGCATGAAGGACATATGTCACTCATTATACCTAGCACACATACACTTCAAAGTTAGCTCACAAAGTGCACCCAGCAGCAGCAGGAAGCGGAACAGAACAGAAAAGGCCTTCAAGAGGCCATGAGAACAGACTAACTTGCAATGTTCGAAAAACGTGTTTAGCCGCTCAGTCGCCGATCTGACAGCGCCGCTGCTGCTGCTGAGTGCGTGTGCGGCAGTCCCAAGGGGGCGATGTCCTTTTGTAGGCCGTCACGATGGGTGTACCACACGTGATGATCCACGTGGTCTCCGCTTGATCTAATCGCTCCCTTGTCCATTCCAACGTTCGTCGTGGCAAGCGCTGGTTTAAGGCCACGGTTCCTGCAATGTTCGAAAAACGTGTTTGGCCGCTCAGTCGCCGGTCTGACAGCTCCGCTGCTGCTGCTGAGTGCGTGTGCCGTGCGTGTGCTTCGTTTAAGGCTGTTGCAAAAGGCTGATTGGGACCCGCACTATTACTCTTTTTAAGGATATTTCATTACCTTCATGCTTATTATGACGCCAAGTTCAACGTATTTATTGTGAAAGTCAAATGTCGATGACCTTGAAAGTTTTATTGCTAAGACTAAAGCTTCAAACTAGTAGGTCAAGTAGTACACAAAGCCAAAAACAGGCTTTCTTTCAGTGCAGCATTATTTTGGTCAAGGAAAGAAAATAGCACTCATGAATTGCCTAGGCATGACGGTCTAACAGTCTCACGAAAAATAAGAATCTACAGTGTGCCAAATCAGTACTTTAAACTAGTTCTGTCGTTCAGTTGAATCTCGTCAGAGTGATCATGTCGAAAATTATTAGTTACTCGCACCATCCAAAATCATTTGGAGCATGTTCGCGTTCGGATTCACACATCAATTTCGCTGGATTTCACTTGTTCTTTGCCCCTAAAAACTTTAAAAGTTTGATTATTGGGTGGGTTCCTGGTTAACAATTGAAGCGCTGATGATTTCGCTCCCAAGTCAAGCAAAATATGCTTTTCGCTCACAGGTGGTAAAGTAAGTGCTACTGTGCTACACAAGTTTTAGCTCTATAATTTATAAAACTACTGCTTCACACACAGCTTTAACAAGCGGAACCATAATGACTCTTCTCGCTATAGCTGCACCGAATATGGGAACGGCTGCACGGGTTCGTACATTCCTCACCGTTTACTTGTTTTCATGGCTCTCTTCATACCTGTTTCTTGATATATGTTCCGTTTTCTACAGCTGTTCTTTTCGTTTTATTCTACTGTTTCTGGTCCATTCGCTGGACTGCTTTTTCTGGCACTCTCATCGCCGTGGGTGAACGCAAAGGTGAGCTTTCGTCGCATATCACCGTATACACATGTCAGGGTGCTTGTTTTCCGTTCTCTGTTATGACTTCGTGTACGGAAAAACTCGCCGTCTTCAAATTATACCTTTGCAGTGAAGACCGATAAGAACCACTTGATTGTAAAATTTTCAGTAACGTACCTTTGTCGCAAGATTGCCTCCAGTGACATGCGTATTGTATTAGGGCTATATAAATTGCAGAGGTTCTTCACATTGATTTAGCGAATGGCTACATTGTCACCTTCCTGTGGATTCCTGCGCACTGCAGCATATGGCAAATGAAAATGCGGACGCTGAAGCTGAAACATGATTAACCAGTGGCCCTGATGTGCGCATTTTGTTTTCACGACCAGACACGAGCACTCTGCTTCCGTGCGTGATGCGCACCTTGGCGCTTGAGCACTCGACTAAACACGAGTCAAGACACCACTAATTACTCAAATGGAACACGGGAGTGAGATTGCACATGCCTCATAAATCAAAACGACTCATCGCAAGTCTACAAGTCACGGGATCGCATATCAGCTGCAGCAGCTGCATTTTCGATGGAGGTGAAAATGCTGTACGCCGATGTGCTCAGCTCTGGGCACACGTAAAACAACCCCAGGTGGTCGCAGTTTCCACAGCACTCCCCTACGGCGTCCCTCATAATCATTTGGTTTTTTTGGCATGTTAAACCCTACATATCAATCAACCACATCGCAGGTATGATTCACCGCATTCGTCTTGGTGTGGCCTTTACGAGATGTTAGGCCCATTTCATCTTCTGTAGTGACCCTGGTCTTAATTCTGAGCTCAGTGAAATTCCGGGAACACTAGATCACATATTTTGTATCGGCCCAGCATACGCACGTCAGCGGCAGTAGTTGATATCCTTTATTGATGGATTGCGTGCGAGGCCACTGACTGATGAGGTTATAGTGGGTCCTTGGCATAATGCCAACCGTACAAATGTGGCTATAAGAACAGTCCTAACTTTTCTAAAACCCATCGGACTGGATGCGCGTCTATAGCACTGCGCCAACTTAACGGGACATACATACTCACCTGGTTAGCTCCCCATCGTCACACATTGCTCTTTTTCTTCCCCGTTGCCATCCCCCTGTGTAGAGTAGCAGGCTGTAGCCTACTATAGCGCAGGCCAACCTGTATGCTTTTCCGTTATTAAGCCTCTCTAGCCCTATCTTTTTTAAATTTTCATCTTTTCTTTAAGTAGACTTTACAGTCTACACAATAGGACGTGCTGAGTGTTTTATTGCTCATTGTGACCACATGAGCATCTCTATCGCAATGTTTTTTGTGTGCTTGGGTAAAAACCTGGTGCTTAGCGAAGGTATTTCAATTGTCATAAAAATTCAGTTTAATGCTAGCAGCACCATATTTAAAAAATTCGAGTTCTAGCTGCCTTGTGCATCGTTAATCCTCATCTAAGAAGCGAAGCGCATGTGCCATTTTGTGCTAAGAATACGAACTAAGAATTGAAGAAAGAAGTCATTACATTTAGGGCTCGTTTAATAAACTAGTAATAAACTCGATATCGATGAACTAGATATTACTACATTTTTCCAAAGGCACTGTTATGGTGAGCACGCGAGAAAATACAGCGCTATCATTAAATATAGTGCAATGAACACTCTTTACTGAGATGAAATAAATATTCATTAGAGTAGATTTTGAGGTAAAAGGTAATAAAAACTAAATATGCAATTTCTGTATGTCGAACGAAGCCTCTATATGAACGAAAATATCAATATAAATATTTCGCATGAACACTCCCGGCTACGTATAAATGTGCGCTTAAGGCAATGTTTTCTTCTCGATCTACTCATATTGCGTGATGACTGTTTTTTCAATGGTTTAGGGTGCTGCTTGGAGCACACTGTTGGTATGCCTCCTGCAGCTGTGGCACGCAATAGGACGAAGCATTTCACCCATTGCACCTGATCGTGTCTTCTCTGGAACCTTGGATCGATGCCCAAACGAAACTTCAGGTACCACGAGCGTACTTCAACTCCAGCTGGACAGGTGTGCAATCATTATTTTTACTTTCACCCACCACACAAACAAAAAAGTGGCTGAATACTTTGTATGTAACACTTCTCTCGGTTCATAGCAGTTGAAGTACCTTGAAATAATTCCTAACTTCACAGTAGGCCAAGACCAAATTCAGATTTTTATGATTTTGTTGCTTCACCTTGGCTAGTGCTGTTTTTTTCGCAACTAATATTCTATTACTATTCGTATTTATATGCGCTCATACGCCCTGAGACACTGAGTAAAAAGGAAAGTAGGAAGCTTGCAGCTGCCAGAAGTAAGGCCACTGCGCCTGCTCACTCTGTCGGGAAGAGAGAATAGAAAGAGAGAATTGGGAGAAGAGCAAAGAGGGAAGAAAGATTATTGCGAAAGCAAATACATCACGTGGGCAGTCAAAACGTAAGTAAGTGAGATAAACAACGTTATTTGGTCCCAATAGATACCAGTAAATATAACGTCACATGGCTAGGCCTACTCGGGTACCATCAAATTTAACATGCTGGCTGGGACAGAAACATGTAGCAGCATGGGAAAACGTCTGTAAATGCGAGGTCGTATCGGTTTCGTTAATGAAGAGCAGGAATCGATTAGCCTTGTCACGTTGAGCTCCAAACACTCTCGCGAACAGGCGATCATCACCTAATTATTGCGTACTTCCTTTCGTTGCAGTTACTTCGTAAATGTTTGCTTTTTTCGAGTCACTTGTTCCAATTGAGTCCCATTCAATATTCGTTTTTATTTCACATCTGTTGATTACATCACCATGATGATAAGTGCTCAGTTATGATTCACTTATTTTTCTCGGTGAATTTGGTGCTATGATGAGTATTGCTATTTCATAGAGAATCACTGGTTCAAGTTTGTGCATATGAACAAAATGGGCAACTCATTGTAAAATGAAAACTCTAAGGTCGTAATAAAGAGAAAATATTTGCTGCACTCAGAGCAGTGAAGGCGACCTTCTTAAAAAAAATAAAAAAAGCATTCTTGATCTTGTGCGTTATAGAAAACACTGTAGGTGAACTTGGGAATGACGTTTGAAAGTATCCCTGCTTGCATAGTGATCATTCGATATTACACAGCACACGATGAACTTTGACTAAGCTGTGCGTGGCTATACAAAAAGAAATATTCATTTTATTTAGCAAAGTGTGCTCCCTGTTCCCCATCATGGCTGACTGCAGAAACTATCAACATCAACGTCGTACTTTAAATCTGTAAAATTGAATAGTCCAGTGCTATGGAACTTTAGGTAGCGTGTACACGTGTTACAAAACCTCTGTTATAATAATATGAATTATACAAAAGACGTCTCATCACATGTTTTAAATATACGCTGAATGGGCCTTTGGCCCATGTGACTAGGTTATTGTTACGCAATAGGACAACAAACATGGCCATATTAATACAGCCATATCACGCAAACCTATCCAACAATGCAAAAAAAAGCTAGACGTAAGTAATCGAGAACGCATAATAACGAAGCTAAAATTTCTTAACTGGCTTTTAATATTGTACTATGTTACATGCAAGCATCATCGTCGCCAGGAGGATAAAATATGGACTATTGCCTATATCAATCTCACCAGTATTCGCTCTCTTCCCAAGTAGAAACAGTGCCCTTCCCGTCCCACACCACGATGCAACGCAGGTTTGCAACCCCCAAGACAATATCCTGCCGATGGTCATGCATCAAAGCAGCTATAGAAATTTCATAAGCAATCTATGTGTTTTGTTGCTTTCATATTTTCTCTCGGGGGAGAAAGGCAGCAAGAACTGAAATGGCGAAATAACAAAGCATGTTGCAAGCAGACTACCTAGAATATTGTCCTTGAACAATGTGATTTCCGACGAAATTCTCAAGGGTCATAATGAAAACACGTAGTGTATTTATGGAAACCACAATAATGAAGTCCCCAGTATGTAAAACTATTGTTTTCTTACTTCACCTGATTATCTTGTTTCTGATTGTGTCTCTTGCTTTTTAACGCTACAGTACACACCTATGCGTGCATATATATATTGAAGTATTATGGCTTATGCTTTGCTTAACCTCTCTCTCATTCACAGCGGATTCGTGTTCCCTCTTTACGAAGTGTCGTTTCATTGGATGTCTTTTGTGGGAGCTCTTCTAACTTTATTTTTTGGAACCGTCTTGAGTATTACAACAGGTAGGTATTTGTGAAGGAAGTTCGCGCTGCTAAGGCTTCTTCCTTATTTTTTATGCAAAAGTGGACTTATAAATGTGGGAACCACTTTGCGTGCAAATATGGTCACTGTAAATGCTGCTGCTTCATAACCAGTGTCTCAGATAAAATTATAATTTACTATAAGAACCAAGCTCAAAACGCCACATACCTGTCCTGGTGTCCTACACGCTGTAGACTGGCACCTCTTTACAAAAGTGTCCGCGTACCATTCCTTCTGAACGAGGTCTTTTTTTATTGGCCATTCCCACAAATCTGTATTTTCGGACAACAGCCAGGGCTACTTACTAATTCGACTACACTAATGTGGTACGAAATCATCATTTATTGCCTGGAAGAAGAGGAAAGAAGTGTACTGACACCAAAAATGGGTCACGTGAGAGAGGGGGTCAGGGAAGAAGAATATGAGCCCTCAAGCTGCTCTAGGTGGCCAAAAGTCCGTGCGCTACGGCCACCCCCTATGGTGCAGCGTACGATGGGGAGTTGGTCATCCGGTCGTAAGCTGCGCAGAGCAGCCTCCCATTGCTCCTGTCGCTCAGCCCCCGCAAAGGGGGGGATTCGGCTTGTTTGAACAAATTCTATACGTATGATGAAAGTCGGCTCGGGAACTCGAGCATAGGCGACATTGAGGTAGGGTGTCATGCGGGTGAATTTAGTACAGTATTTATTATTTGTTTTGTTGTGTTTATTTGTACAGTGTAATTTGAGTGGTTACTTGGTTCAGTTGCTACAAGCTGTTGTTTCTCCTGTTACTACCAACTTAGTGAACATTTACTCTACAAGCTTCTTGCTTAACGTCTCTTCTTGTTTCCACAGTGTATCAACATTTTTCTTTCATTTTTTCATGGTTCTGTTGGTTTGCTAAGATTACGTGATAGAGGTAAATGAAAAAATGTTGATCTCCACAACAAGGTGTTTCTTCCGTTCGTCTCAGCAAATGCCGGAGCTATCTCGGAGACCTCGGTTTGCATTTCTTTGCAAACCGAGAAAGTGGACAAGTATGCATCTCCATTTGCAGAATATACAAACAGAAGGCAACTGTCAACAGAGCTTTTTAGAATGCGTAATAAAACAGTTCAATGCACAAGAAGCAAGAAATGGGTGGAGAATGCAACTGCAAAGGTGAATATTGCCGGCACAGTCTGATAAATCTAGTTCCTTGAGCGTATAGAAAAACGTCAGGGTCTATTGCGAGTTCTGCAAAAGCTTGTGATATTATTGCGCTTTTTACATCACACATAAGTTGTTGCAACCTTAGTTGGGGTAATGGAACAAAGCAATCTATTAGTTATCTTGGTATGTTACAGCAAAAAGCACTATGCTCTGTTGCTAACCTCCTTTTAAAGCCCTTCCTTCACAAATATTCGTTGAATATAAAATTATCATATTAAACATTCTCTATGAACATTTCTTAGTTATCACCTTTAGATCTTATTACATCAAAGGCCGCGACTGTGTGCGTAGTTTTTCTAACTTACATAAAATCCTTCGACGTGCTTAAACCGACACTCTGTACATTGGTATGTGCCGAGACCACACACAAATTACGGTTTTGAGACACTGCGTTAATTCTTGCGGAATACAGTAAACATATTAGGAATTACTAGTGAAAATTATTGTACGCTCTCTATACCTCGATTATAAGTATGCTTTGCTAGTTTATGTGTGCAGTATTTCTTTTCAGTTGGTATTCTTTTTTCTTCCGAAGTTTTAGCAGGTGCATTGCAGGGTTGGATAAGTTTGCATAACTTTCTTACTCCGCTGCATAGTATGTACATTGCTGGCTTAAACTGTCTTGTGGATTACTTTGCTTTTGCCGGGTTATTGTCACAGTGAAAATGGGGATTTGAAGCACTGTCAAGCTGTTTTAGAGCGAAATATTTTATGAGATCACAACTCGGGTCATGCGCAGTTGTCCGAAGCCGTTGTCCGTATCCACATCTTACAAAATTAGAAAAAGGTCTAGTACCAATGACCCTCAGGGGCTCGAATCTGGGTTCGCTGGCTGCCAGCCTAATACTCTACCACTAAGCCACACTGGTGCTTGCGACTTCTTGGCAAACTTGCCTTAGGCTGTCTTGATTTCGAGAAAGCAATCGCGTAAATAATACTTATAAAGCTTTTTAAACCAATGAAAGAAGAGCCAGTCGTCGCACAATGCGAATATCGAAAAGAGTGGGTCGTCCAATGCTCCAACCCATTACAAAAGCTTGTTCTTGTTCACCGATGAACTGTGGTGTATACCCACATCAGCCACAATTCCTCATCGTCGTCAGCCACTGCATGAACAATTTGCGCAAAATTCCTTGCAAAAGTTTAACAGATACGAAGCTCTTGAGAAGCTTCATGAAAAATAGCATAGGGAGTGCCGGCCTACTACTTAAAAAATGTTACTATTAATGCCCTAGTGTGTGCAGCAAGTGTGCTTGCAGTATGACCCAATCAGTGTTTTGAAGGTCTATGAAAGGCCGCTCTTCTAGCTTTCTCTGTGACTGTGCTGCACCTTCCGCTCAGGCCTGGTGTTTTTTATAGCAAAGCTGCCATAGTGGAGGTTTCTGGTACGTCATTCGTAAAAAAGTTACTATCATAGTAAACAGTATGTCGTGCTCAATCAGCGCCCGAGCACTCTGTACATAGGTGTGTTTCGTTGGGCTATTTGGTCAAACATAGTAAAAGTTAACAACAACGCAAACTAGACGACACGAACAAAATGCTGCGCAGGCCTGGCGTTTCTTTATACGGCTTTTTCTTATTCCCAGCCACTTACTGTACAACTGTACGCGGTAAATAAACTGAACAGTTCTCGCGTATGTACAGTGTCAATTTTTTTTTTAATGGGAGCACGATGACGCGTGGCCTGGGCACTCCGCCTGCTGCTGGCAGCGCGTTCAAGCGGGAGCGACAGCAACCACAGTCGCTTTTTGTGTCATATCGTGGTTGCCTCGAACTCGATCTTATGCGGCGCTCGCTCGCACTTAAATTGTGAGTTGGAGCAGGCCGAAATAAACTAAAATATCTTTGACGTTGTACTCGCAGTTCCCTTGGATGAGCTTCCTACTTCTCTGAAGCGACGTTGTATTGACATTAGACGCTTGCTAGGTCCTTGATTATGAGAATACCATGCCTCATACCAACAAAAAAGAAGGGCCTATGCAGGTTCGCTTACGGACAGCTCTCTTTGCACTATACAGTTATGGTGGTGACGTTTTTTGCTGCACCATCTGCGCAGAGCTTGTCTTCTATTCATAGATTGAATTGAGAACGCAGGCTTCTGTGGGCACGAGAGGAATATGGACACGCTATATTATTGCACCAGTAATAGGCCTCTATTAAAACGCTCTTTGAATGCTTAAAGGCGTTCCTTTATGCGCAAAGTTCTTCAAGAAGTAAACCTGCTTGCTTCTTTACCCGAAGAACCTGAATGTTAAGCGTAGTGTGGCAATTTAATACAGAAGTTGCTGAATTGACTGGAATGGAGACATTGTCACCATCTTGCTGAATATAGTCTTGCTGAAAAATTTAGCGACATGTACCTTTTTTTGAACTCATAAAATATTCGCTTGACAGTAATTTACAAACAAAATATTGCCAATATCGATAATGAAGCTGCACGGAGCGTGATCAGCTGCCACATGAGCTAGCTCACTGAATCGCTGCTACGAAAGGCACCCATTGGGAAAGATGGTTGTGATGCCCTAGTCTTAGTGCATGTCTATTGGCACTGCAACCACCCCAACAGTGAGGCCTTCAACGTTTACCTACAAGGCAGCTCCGTTCCAAGTGTGTTTCCTTGCTAACCACGGTGACATCAACCCTTCCCATGCGCGATGTCTCCGTGGTGCGTGCTTCAAGTTTATTTGTTGAAGTAGGAGAACTAAGAGTGGAAATTCCAAGCCAGTTTTCTCAAATATGGCTAGCAAACTACCGCTGCTGCTTTTCATTGCGAACAGATAAGTTTTTCTGAAAGTAGTGCGTGTTTCAGAGGCCACGGTAATATGGTCGCTATGGTGTTCGGCTACTCAGCCACAATACGCGGGCTTGATCCTGGCATACTAAAAGGCCACGTATTTTATACATATATGCTTGTAAATAATCTTCTTAGCCTCATTTGCTGCGGCATGCCTCATAATCGTATGGTCGTTCTGGCACCCGGAACCCTAATTATTATTTAAGCGAAATACAGAGAAACTTGATAGAATGAAGAGAACTGGCTTGACCACGTTATAGCTCAAATTATTAGGCTAGCGGAGCGCAAATGCCTGGCTTCAGCACATGCTGGTCTTGAATCAGTTGTATACATATTTAGTTTTGCTTCCTTGTTTATCCTGAGGTAAAATGCACCATAAATGAAGCGATCAACAAGGAGTGGGACAGACAGACTAGCAAGCGGACGGATGGATAGACGGACGCATAAAGCGGATATGTGCCACATTGAATGCGAGATGCGAGGTGGCGGTACTTGGAGTGTTCACTAGATAGACGCATGCACGGACGGACGCATGGACGGATGGACAGACAGACTAGCAGACGGACAACGATATACTGCCAGAGCACGTTGGCTCTTCTGAGTGGCCTAAACTTCGGAGCGCAACACTCGCGTGTTTGCAATTTAGAAGCTTGCTCGGCAAGCTTCTCGTGGTCGCACCTTGTCTAGTGGCGGCGGCTGGTGGCGGCAGCCAGCGGTCTACACCACTGTTGCCAGTGTACACTTCTGGTGATAACAACAAAGCCCAATTAGACCGCCGTGCCACCGCCAATGGCGTCAGTTTTCCGTTCAACAAATTTCACGGCTGCTCTTTTGAGTGTGCGGTCTCTCAACGCACACGTTCATAATATCGAACATGATCCCGTCCTGAGCGCAGCCGACGTCCTCTGCTTCACCGAGACATGAAACCGCTAAAAGCACACACATGAGTGAGTTTGTTTGAGCCGTCTGCAACAGGGAAGTGGAGCGTCCCGCGGGT